CATGGTGCTTAGTTGCTGGCTGGGGCTAAACCATGACACAAAGATAAATACAGGGAACTGATCAAGCTTGTTGGCGTTAACCATGCTTGTTCCCATCTCCTTCCACCCCATCACCAAACCCTTTACTAAGCAAGGAGTAGCACATAGCGTATGTCATGATGTCTTGTAGCTGATTTCTTAGGGTTTAGCATTAAGAAAAATATCAGAGAAAGTTGTCCTTTTTTACTATGGTGATGTCTTAATTTTAATCCGTATGGTTTTGCTTTGTCACGCAATGTATGTTCCATGACTATATTTGGCTGTGTAAGGTGAGGCACTGTAGATTTTGGGGAATCAAGTCTGTCTAATGTTTTGATATGAATTGAGTAACTTGTGTTATGAAAGCCATAGACAATGGTGGTTTATAACAAGTTTTGTACTAAATCGTTTTTATTTAAATGATTGGTTTGAAGAGTCTTTCTGATCTGTTAGATATATTTTGTTTTTTCTTTCTTTATTTATTTTTATTTCTTTCTGTTTTTATTAGGTTCGAATAATTCCATTACAACTTCAACGGTTATTTGCTCAGCTTCTGCTCTTGGACCAGCAAGCTGCATCTACAACAGACCTTACTGACAGCTTTGGGTGGAACAGCAATGAGGTACAAATCACCATTAGTGGCACCATCATTGATAAACTTTTTCCTGAATGGAGAAGATTTTTGTTTTTGAAGTCTGACATTTAAGAAATACCTTAAAATACTTCAGGCTGTGGAAACAGCATTGAATTGGGTCAGCTATTTTTGTATACTATTGAATCTCCAAATGAAGTACATGCCAATTGTTTACAACGAGCAACAGAAGAAAATTGTTCTGTTAGATACAATTTTGATAGCTTTTCCTTTGTTTTTACAGCAACATTTTTCCAACAGTAATTAGGGTTCTTGTCCTTCAAATGCTTAGATTCTTACCTAAATTGAACTGTGTAACTCATCTTAGAGTTTAGTCTAAATCTACCCAAGAAAGTGTCTTATGTGGGTTTTAGTTTATATACTTGTAGCTACTCAGCATAACTAAATTAAGAAGAACAAATAAAAATAAAGGTAGTAATTTACTACTCAAGGTAGTAAATATATGGGTAGTCATTGAGGCAGCTGTCTTTGTCACACTTAATATATGTTGTTTTTAAGCAATAAGCAAAGCAGATGGCACTATTTTGTTTCTTCAAGGTTTGTTTTTTTTTTTAATCATGCAGGAAATGAGGCAGCATGATGTGCAGGAATTAAATCGGATTCTGTTCAGTGCTTTGGAAACTTCCCTTGTGGGGACTTCGGGTCATGACCTTATTAACCGATTGTACCATGGGATTGTTGTCAACCAGATTGTTTGTAAAGAATGCAAAAATATCAGTGAGAGACAGGTAAAGCCAGAGTATTCTCAGGATAGGTTTCTGTTTAGTCTGTTGAAGATACTTTAAATGTTCTTTTTTTTTAAACTCCAAAAATAATCATATCTTTCTTGAGTGTCACTGGTGGGCTTGTTGAATCTACGTAGTGTGTATTGGTTAGGGCGCTGCAGACTTGAAAACGTGAAAATTATGCATGACTTTGTTAAGTCTTGGCTGGCATTTTCTAAACCACCTACATCAGGCTGTGACTCAGAGGTGAAAGAACAAGTGTTACTGCATTTCTGAATCGGCAAGCATTGCCTTTAGTAGATGTAGTTAGGAGATAGCTGAACAGTGGGGTGACAACAGTAAAACATCTTTACATTCTTTTACTGCTCTTTGTAATTTAAAAAAACTCCTTGTTTGTGGGGAGTTTTTTTAATTAATTTATCTTACATTCATATATGTTTCCTCCCTCCCCCCATCAACAGTGAAAGCGAAATGAGTGCTCACATCTGCTGTGGTGAATGGGATGAGTATCTTTCTAATGTACCGTGAACTTACACCACTTACACCACCTTACTTTTTTTGTTGAACTTCTGCATAGGAAGATTTCTTAGACTTAACAGTGGCAGTAAAAGGTGTTGCTGGCTTGGAGGAGGCCTTGTGGAACATGTATGTAGAAGAAGAGTACTTTGAAAATGAGAACTTGTATCGATGCGGAGCCTGTGATAAACTTGTTGAAGCTTCAAAGGTAATGCATTGGTGATTATCAGTGTTCAGTTTGCTGATGTTTAGGAACTTTGTTTACATTGCTGTGTCTGCCCTCTAACTCCAAAATAAAAAAGTCTGTATCTTTAATCAGATGGTATATAACAAGAGAATGCCAAAATCTGACCTGTTTTTTTAAAACCTCAGCAACTGTATCAAGAAAAGCTCATGTGATTCACTTCTTGACTTGAATGCTGTTGCAGTCTTTAATCTAGCTCATGGTAAATGGGATGGCATGTAGTTTCTAGAGTATTGCCCCATTCACACACCTCTACTGCCCCGGCTGTGGGCGTTTCAGATGATAGCCTAAAAGACAAGCTAGACCATAAAGAAAAAATAAACGGATCCATGTAATGAAGAAAACCGTGGAAATTCTCTCATGAAGAATGCAAATGGGAGAGAAGAATAATGAACAAATGTTATTCTGCACAGGGAAATGGGATCTGTTGATCCAGGTATTGCATTGTTCCCCTGATGCTGAACAGTTCTTGCAGTGATAAATTAGCACCTTAGTAGGTGTTTTCAGTATGTTCTGTAGCACTAGAGCCTTCAGGTGAGTAAGAATGTCTATGCAAGGAACCATCCAGCTCTTCCAATGTGTAAGACGATGGATGTGTTTTCATAGTGTATGCCTATGTTATTCCCATCTGCCAGCTTACTTCTGGTATAACCACCACCACTTCATGTCCTCTCTCAATGAGCTTTTCAACCATTTGCCGCATGCTAAGCCAGTGGCTTCCATCCGTGGGCACCACCAGGAGTTTCCCTCCATCTAAGAGGCCAGGAAGGAGGAGGATAAAAATCCAGGCACAGCAAAGCCTCAAAGTCATGTTCCTGTGGTCAGAATAGAGACTGTGAAAGTGTTCTCCTTCAGGCAGTAGCTTGAAGATGCTTTTGAAGGAAGCCAATGGGTTTATCTCTTGAGTTGTGCTGCTTTGTCATAATCTTCTAGTGAATGATTTACTGCTTTGATCTGTGCTCAGCTATGGGTGAGAACTGTCCGTTTAGAGTTGTTTTTTTAAAAATTACTTGTAAAACCAAATGCAGTGACCCCTTCCTGTGCTGAGTCATCAGAGCTCCTCAGTGTTCAACAGATAACTGTTGACATTAAGGCTGTTTATTGAGAGTGATTTCCAGGAGCTCAGGAACATCCATACTGGAGTACTCCTTTGTCTGCCTAGTTCCCTGCCTTCACCACTGGGCACCTTGGGAAAGCTTCAGATGCTTGACAGTTGTTGATGCTGGTATCTTCCAGAGGAGTTGTGTATGTGACCTTGAGTGCTTTGTTAAATGCTTGGTTGTTAACACTGGTTACTGTCTGTATGCCAGTGTAGCCTGCAGCATCCTTGTGCTGGCAGCTTGTCCCTGTTTGTTGGTTTACAACAGTTTGGACTGGTTTCCCAAACATAGTAATCAAATTTTAAAACTTTTTATGTGTCTTGTCATCCATCCCCTTAGCTAGGGCCAGGGAAGGGCAGCCCAGTGAGAGCTTTATGAGAGTTGTAGGTGTTTGAATTGCATCTTTCCAGAATGATACAGAGTGGTGTTTGGTTTTCTTCTGTGCTAATTTTTCACATCATAGTTTTTTATAAAAAGTTGCTTTTTTTCCTGGTATTCCCACTATTTTCTGTGAAGGGGAAGCAGACGTAGGCTGTTAGTGCACTCTGCCTTTGACATACTCTGCCTTCTTCACAACAGCAAACCTATTTGGCCTACTGTGGTGACTCTCTTTGCAGCAGGATGAGTGCAATCCAAACCTTCCAGCACCCTTAATGTGGAAGGGAGTGGGTGCAAAGGCGAGCTGAGGACAGATGAAGTTAACCAGTGACTTGGGAGTTCAGGAACATTTGCCAGTGCCTCACGTGGCTTGGTTATAAGGGCTTGTTTGAGTTAAACTTTGCTGGGTTCAAGGGAGTGCGAGGTAAGAGTTGCTTACCTCTCACACGTGGTCATCCATGCAAGAAGACAGTGGGAACTCTAAACTTGGGTACGAAGTCACATACCTGGGGGATTTTGGGGTATGAATGGACAACCTCAAGAGAGAGGGGCTGTGCTAGAAGGCTGTAGTGGGAGGGAGGTATGTCGTGTCAGCATGACTGCTGCCTGTGACCCCACAGGCACAATGTGCATGATCACAGCAGACTATAGTAAGAGTCAACACTCTGAGCAAGTTAGGTGCCAGCTGAGTCACTCTAGGCTTGGTGGCAGCATTAGGAAGGCAGTCGCCTAACAGTGTGACTGCCTGCCGACACCTAGCCTGTTTCAAAGAGAAGATGGCCCATACCTACCCACTCCATTCCTCCCTTCCTTCAGTACGCTGTGGGTCTTTGGATGTTATTCTTCCCCCTTTTTTGTCTTGGCCTCTAGAGAATTTAGTAGTTGAAGAATCTGGTGTTCCAGAATATTACCAGATTTTAATTGTGCAATCTGATTATCACTCTGAACTTGGAACAGCATGCAAAATCCTTTGCACCACTAAGCTCTGCACGGTAGTCTTCACAACTGACGCAAATTAAGTACCTAATTCAGGGAGTTTCTTAAGCCATATGCGTGTTCCTGGGAGGCTCTCTGGTATGGCTCTGCAAATAGAGAGTTGGGTGGAGACACTGGAAAGGCTCAGAAATGTGTCTGTTGAATCCACACTTACGTTCAGAGGTGATACAAAACGGTTGGTTTTGCTTCGCCCCAGGGTTCCTGATGTGCTCATGCACCAAGTTGTTTGTGACATTTTTCAGACCATTTCCATTGCATTCAGGGGCAGCCCAACAGTCACTCAGCAGCAGGCTGCAAAATACATGTGGGAGTGATCTCTTTTTCCAGACAATATACACCTATCAGAGCTAGTTATGTTACAGACAGAATCATTTCTGACTTCCACATTTGAAAACATTTGTGCCTGTATGAGCCCTGACCTATACTTGGGGTCACACAACCCCAAAGAACTGGAAAACTTTTCATTGGTCATTAGAATAAACCCCAGGTGAAGTACAAATGCTGTGCTTGGAGGAGATAATGAAGATGGGCCAGAAGAGTAATGGCGCCAGCCTCAGCTGAGGTCCTTTCCTTGTACCAGAAGCAAGCATGTAGGCTGTGTTTGTAGGCTGAGCTTCATTCATAGCTTTTTTGAGTTTCTTGGGTGGCTTCAGGGCCTGTGCCAGATGGTGAGCACCCCACTGTTCATCTGGGAATGGCAAAGCTACCATGAAGCTGTGTCGCTTTTCTGTAGCACCTGCTTTTCAGCAGCAGTTGAGTGTTTGTGCTTTTTACTCTGCGCTCCCAGGGTCTGTGTGGGACTGGTGGTGGCAGGTGCTATGCAAGGGGCCAAGAGCAAAGTTGCTGGGAAGATGCTGTATAGTCTGACTTCATGCATAAGCAAAAACCCAGGGGTTTGAGACAGTTGCTTCTCAGTGTAAAGTTCAAGAAAATCCTCTCACAAAGAACATGTGGGCTATGGAAGTGTAACTACTGACTAGAATTTCAGAAATGCCCTCCTTCGTCTCCTGTAGGAGGATAAAGTATGGGACTGGTGATCACCATTCAAAGAAGGTGTGAGGTTTAACAGAGGGGAAAGATCTTTATTGCTTTTTAGGATGTCTAGTTAGTAGGGAAATTGAGAATTGGGGGAGACATTTTAAAAATGAAAACACTGGTCATGTCTGCCTGGTTGTACTGAAGCTTTGTTGGAAAGTAAAGAGTTGACCATAGCAAAGTGGAAACGCTGTTCTGTATAACCAAGTGCTTACAACTTTTAAAAATCATTTTACAGTCTGCTAAACTACGCAAGTTGCCACCCTTTCTCACCATTTCTCTCCTGAGATTTAACTTTGACTTTGAGAAGTGTGAACGATACAAGGAAACGAGCTGCTATACATTCCCTATCCAGATAAATCTGAGGCCATTTTGTGAGCAGGTATGTACTGTTAAATTTGTTAAAGTTTATATATATTCTGCAGAGAACCAATATCTCAAGGATCAGTTATCTTTTATTTTGCATTTTGTCAGGGCAAGGTATTTGAGAAACTTTGTGGGGTTCTCCTCTGTCCCCAATTCCAAATTTTTGGAATTACAGTTTGTTTCCAAAAGACTACTTTCTAACTGAGTGGCAAATACCTTGTAGCTATACAAGGGGAAAGGGTATAATAACTACCTAAAACTTCATCTGACTTTTGCTTGAAAGGAAGATTATCACCTGGGGATTGAAATTAAATTTGGTTCTGTATTGTCATTGTCAGATAACGTCATGTATAAATTTAGCTAGTTTTCTGTGCCTGTAGTTACTTCATTTTTCTTAGGAATCTGTCTTTGCATTCATATATATGTATTTTGATTATAAACTGAGCTGTACCAATGCTTGATGACAATTTTTGATCCTTAAAATATATAAAGAATATACTTAATAGAGGCACTGTTATTGAAGAAGACATTTTTCTTATTGAAATGTTGCAATGCAAGCTTGGAAATTTCTCAGTGTTTGCATTTGAGGAAGCCTTTTTTCAGTTGGTTTATATATGTAAATATGTTTCTTGTTTTTTTTCTAGTCTTTTAAATGAAGTAAGCCTGGTTATGAGCAAACAGGTTGAGCTGTTCTGTTATTTGCATCAATCATGCTTAAAAAGTTGCTTTATAAGCCTATGCCTTGGTCCATGGTTTGTGTCAGTCCATACTTGTGTTCCCCAGCCCTGAAAAGCCATTTCAACCTCTGCACGTGCAAATGCTCACTGAGAAATATCTGAAGCTATGCTGATGGTGTAAAACTGTCCTTGTGTGAAAGACTTACTGATATATATTATTGTTGTTGTTACTGTTTTTCTTTTTAAAGACTGAAATGGATGATTCAGAGTACATGTATGAGCTGTTCTCTGTTATTATACATAAAGGTGGCTGCTATGGAGGACACTATCATGTCTATATCAGAGATGTGGATGAATTAGGAAACTGGCAATTACAAGTAAGTTCTAAAGGTTTTTTTCTCACTTCATTTTTCAGAAAAGTATTAAGAGCTAGTGGATGAAATGTACATCCAAACTAATGAATATTTTAGTGAGGCATTTGGTCTCTGACCTTATTGAGAAGGCTGGTTTTCCACAGTATGCAATCTCTATCAAGATTTTGTAGCAAATTCTAGCTTTCCAGTCTGCTGAACTTTCTCATGTTACTGGGCTCACTTTTTCTTTCCCAAATGAATTAATACCTTTGCTCAAGACTAGCACAGTCATTTTAATGGATGACTCTGGCTGTTCATTAATAACGCAAATGCCTTTTCTGTTAAAAAAAGTGATGGTGGATATTCTGTATGACAATATACAGTCCGTAGCAGGAGGCAGAGGCAGCTTATCAGAACTTCCTTCACACTTCTAAATTGTGCGTGCTAATGTTAGTACAGACTATAATCGAAAACTGCTAGTTGTGTGTGAAACAACAATATTTGTGAGTCTTATTTTTCTTATACAGGAAGAAGAGGATAAGCTGATTGAAGAGAAGGCTTTAAGAGATAGTGAAAATGCCAAAGAAGTAGAAAATCCATTGGCAGTGCTGAAAGGGATTTTATCAGAGGTATGGTATGTAAGGAGTTTATTGCTTTGACTGTGATATTAAGGAACCTAGAAGAAGGGGTTAGTGTGTGCAAGAGTGGGGAGGTTTAAGTGTACAGAACTCTTCTGAACTTGTTGTGAAGCATGTAAAACTTAACCTGCCTTTAATACTAATAGTGGCTCTTCATACAGAAAATGGTCCTTTTTGAGTATTTAAGTTGCTTGCCAAAGCTGTTGCAAAAGGTGATGTTATATTGGCTTACTAACAAACAGGAATGGTTTAAGCACTTCAGAATTGCCTGCTTTGTGTTGATCCCTTGACTTTTGTAGCCTTCGTTATCCTAGTTTTTAATTTCTCTGTAGGAAGAATCTAAACAAATTCCTGTGGATCAATTAGGGCAGAAATTATTGGAGAAAAAAGGTGTGTCCTGGAATAAGAAATACAGAAAACAATATGGAGCATTACGAAAGGTAATATGCATGTATGTTAATTTCATTTTTACTGTTAAGATAACTTTACATTTCTATTCCTTTTGAATAGTCAGTAGGATGGTAATTGAAAATACTGGCACTTGGACTAGCAAGATAGATAGAGCATGTGTAAGAGCAGTTTGTAAGATAAATTAGTACACTGGGGAACACAGACAAGATTCTCAAGGGATTGTCTGCCTGAAAGCTTGTATCTTTTTTTTTTTATCTATATAGTTGGCTTATAAAAGAATTAACCTTACCTACTGAATCTTATTTCCCTTGTGTCTGTGGATGAAGCTGCAACAACACTACTACCACTTGAACATAAAAGCACTGATGAGAATTAAAAAAGAAATACAGTACTTCTTCACAGTCATAACAGAAGTGAGGTTTTGAAAACGTATGCCACTTTTTGGTTCATTAGGGCATGCCCATAAAATTAACACTTACAGTAAAATCTTGTATTTGCCCAATTGGTTACTGTATTTTCTAGTGCTTTAAGGAAAATACTTCAGCATTTGTGTTATAGATACATGGAAAAATCATGTTTGACTGGATTTTTTGAATAGAACTAACAATGCAGTTTTCACAATAATTATTTAAAAGTAGTTGTGAAATCTGAATGTGAGTCTTCTGTGGAGATAGATGCTTTTCTGACTTTGACAGGGAAGTGACAGAAACAAGTTGTGAGCAACCCAGTGTTAACCATTCCAAAGTTTGAGTGCTGTTGTGAAAAGTTAGCTTTAGTAATATTCACAAGTGCTGGGTCTATACCGAAAGCGCATTGATCAGTGCAGGACTTGCCTTATTGAAAGAACTGTAAATTATTTTACGGTTTTTGAAGTATCAGCTGTGTTTTTGATTATGATTAAAACTGAAATTCAGATTATGGGGGGTTGTTTTTGTTTTAGGGTTTTTTTTGAGGGCATTTGTTGTAGTTTTGTGGGGGGATTGGAGAGTGGTTGGTGCCCCCCCACACTCCCCCCCATGTCTCAAGAGCCATGATTTTGTTTTGTGTAATTTGGACACCAAGCTTGTTTGAAGTATCTGCATACTGCTAAAATGAAAGTAGAGAGCACAGTGGATAAGCTGGGTGAAACGGAATGAGTAGGTTTTAAGTTAGTAAGATGCCACAATGGGCAGCGTTAATTTGGGTAAGGTACAACCCAGCGGACAAGAATTGAGCTTAAGATCCCTGTCTGGTAAATACAGAAGGGAGCACTTCTGTAGAGACTAGGGAGCAGAAAGTAGCAGTGTTAAAGGGCTAAAGTGTTTGGGATGGTACTCTGTGTGTCTGATAAAGCAGAGGCTTTGTGACTGCCTATAGAGCATCACTCCCTATGCTACCTTTCCAGGGACACGGAGTATGCACTTGTGAGAAGAGTTCTAAAAGGAAACCAGTGTCTCAAGCAATCCTTGAATTTCAGAAGTTAGTCTGATTTAATTCTTAGTGAGTCATGTGTATTAAACCCAATTATATTATTTTGCATTTCTTGCATGGTAATTTGAAGTTACATAAGAAACGAAGCCAGCAACAGCATATAAAAGATCAGGCAGATAAGTGGTGGTAGGAAAATTATGTTTTTCTGTCTGAACTGAGGAAATACGTGAGGAAGCGTCATAAACCCCAAGTTTGAAGCGATGGGGTTTTTATATCAATCTGAGGATGAATCAGGTGAAGTAGCTAATGCGGTCTGCTGTATTTAAAACTGGTATCTTCTTCTTCTTGTCCTTGTTTTCCTTTTAGTATTTGCAGAATCATCCTCAGATATTTCAGTTCAGTCCTGATGAAAATAAGGTTGGTCTGAAGGAAAAACACAAGCTCCCTTTTAAGTCAGATTCTCAAGGACAAGATCTCCAAAGCCCTCCTCAAAAGAATGATGTCCAGTGGAATTCAGAAAAAAAACCCACAAGGCTAAGAGGCAGTTCTGCTGGTTGCCATTGGTTTGATCTGAATGATTCAAAAGTCCAGCCGATCAAGGAGAAGGATATTGAGAAACAATTCGAGGGTAAAGAGAGTGCCTACATGCTGTTTTATCGAAAATCTCAGTTAAAAAGACCACCTGAAGGTACACAGAGCTCATCTTGATATTCTGGGGGCTTCCTTCATTGACAGTTTGTTTTCTAGAGGGCAAAGGCTGTTGGGCATTTCTGTCCTTTCCAAGAGCTGAAGATAGAGTTTTCTTTCTAGTGATCATTTGAAAAAAGGGTTAACTACGATACACAGAGGTTACCTCCAAGGAGGTGGTAACCAGTTAATTGGCTGTAGCTGGCACTAACTTTTTTCTAGTACACTTCACAAATACTAGCAGAACATCTCCTACTGAAACATATAAAAGTTGTTGCTAATGGCATTCATGTATCAGTTACCCTTAGGGAAA